CCACTGACTGACAGACAAGTGTGTGAGGGATCCAGCAAGCCCAGCTCTTTTTTATTTGAATAAGCTTCCTAGTGTGCGCTGTTTGAGGCTAGTGCTTTCAAATGAAAACGCCAATGACTAGCAAATATGTCTTTAAAAGTATAATTCGAATGTGCTCCCACGAGGCATTTAACAGTGATGTGATGAAAAATAGGGAGCTGAAGTGTTTCTGTGCTGTTTCCATGGTGACCCCTGTCAGTATTTTCTTGTCTTCCAAATATTACATCAAAGAAGATAATGATTTAATCTCGAGATGTGTCTTTCTGTTATTCTCAAACATGTATAAAACATTCAAAAGGTAAGCTTGAGTCCTAGTTCCTGTGTAGGTCATTCCAAAATCCACACAAATGCATACAGTACCAGTGGATCTCCAAAAAATTAGAATATTCTGACTTTTTTCATAATGTAACTTTTATATTAATCACACATCTAAACATGATTGTAATATTTCCATGATTTAAAAAAAGCATTTACAATACAGAAATCTCCAGCTTCTGAAAAGTGTTCATTTATACACTCAGTACCTGGCTGGGGTTGCTTTACCACAAATTACTGCATCAGTACAGCGTAGCATGGAAGCGATTAGTTTGCGGTCCTGCTGAGGTGTTACTGAAGCTCAGGTTGCTTTGATGACAGCAGCTCGTTTGTATTTTTGGGTCGGCTTCTCATCTTCCTCTTGACAACAAACCCGAGATTCTCTGTGGGTTTCAGGTCAGGTGAGTCAGCTGCCCCATCAACCACCATAATAACACATTCAGCAAATCATTATGTAGAGTGTGGCACTGTGGGCAGAATCCTGCTGGAAAAGGAAATTGGCATTTCCATGAAGCTTGTTAGCAGATGGAAGGAAGTGCTCTAAAATCTTCTGGTAGATAGCTGCGTGCAGATGACATGGCACTCCAAATCATCACAGACTGCAGAAACTTCACACTGGACATAAAAGACCTTGGATTCTGTCTCCATTATTCCTCCAGACTCTAAGATGTTTGTTTCCAAATAATATGAAAAAAATTGCTTTCATATGTGGATCACAGGACTGTGGATCACCGAGCAGCAGTCCTGTTCTTTTTCTCCTTAGCCCAGATAAGAATGCTTCTGACATCTCTGGATCAGAAGTAGCTTGATATTAAGAATGCAACAGTTTTATCCTCTTATTGCACCGTCACCAGCCTCAGTCCAATCCTTCTGAATTTTCCCAGATTGCTCAAATAGACTTCCCTTGACAATCATGTCAAGTGGTCATCCCCGTTGCTTGTGCACCTTTTCCAGAAACACTTTCCCCTACCTGTCATCTTAGCATTAACATGCTTTCATACAGCACTTTGTGAACAGCTGGCCTTTTCCCCAGTAGACCTTGGCAATGTTTGTTATCTGGACTGTCAAGTCTGTCGGGTTTGGCCCTGATCGTATTTACCTGTTCTGAACTAGACCAACACATACACAGTATTTGTATTGTTTGAGTGGTAATTTACTCAAACTCAAAATAAAATATTCTAATCATTTAAAATACTGCACACTAAATAATCAGCCAACAATCATCCAAATGAAAACATAAAAACAGAAATATTTCACTTTATGACTTTATCAATATAGAATATTAAAAAAAATCTTTAAAATATTCATATTTTTAGGTGCTCTACTTAAAAACGAAATATATACGAACCCAAGTGAGAGAACAAAATCGATCTTGCGTCATGATTGGTTCTGCTGCTCGGTCCCTTACATGTACCAGCTCCGTCTTCTCAATTTGTTGAAGTGCGATTGGTTGGGTACACTATTCTTATTAGAACACTTTCCATGTTCCTGCTGGGACATTATCTGTACGCATACGAATGAACTTAATGTGAATGAGGATTATCCATTGTCCCGCCTTGCCGTTAATCATATTTTTGCCTACAGCTAATCTGTAATGAGATTTTCCTTCAATCAGAATGTCCAGACAGCTCCCGCAGAGCTTCCCACAGAACCAGCCCAGTCTTGTCTGATATTAAAAGGCCCTTATGAGCAGGAAACGGCACATGTGTGCGAGGCTGTGTGTGCGCTAATGCCTTAGTGTAGTTCATGTCTGGTTGCACAGACACTTGGTGCAAATGGCAAATCAGCCACAATGTTTAAAACACCTGTTGTCCCGAATTTGACAAGTGGCACAAAAACAAACCAATGGAGGCCCAGTAGAGTGCAATCAGATGAAGAGTTTATTAAGAACACACGTGCGGGAAGAAGTACACAGCATCACATCTGCGGACTTCTTCTGCCAAAAATACACAGAGAATGGTTTATATATCATCAGGGTTAAACGCCCCTTCTCGCGTTCTATAACATATTTTTGTATTTCTAAGAACATCATTTTCATCTTGTACAGACAATGAGACAATTTTGAGAGCTAAGGTCAGACACCGAAGTTCCTCTTTCTAACATTTTTCCCAAATATGGCGATGATTTCAGGCCCGTGGACTTTTCTTCTTTTTGACCCATCTTCTGTCATCTGTTGCTAAGCAAACTCAAATGCCACAGGTTACAACAAGAAGCTGAATACATTCACGCCTTCACTCAAGCCTGTTTCTAGATTATATGTACTATATATGTTTTGTAAGCCTGTATGCAGTTTTAACCTTCTGTTGCTCTAAGTCACCTACAATAGATTGTCTGAACATCGCGCCAAACAAAGCTTGAGACCTT